CCCCCCCCCGCCTAATGATGCTCGTTTCAGACCATGCTGCTTTGCGGAAAAACAAACATTGTACATCAGCGATCACGACAGTGTATCTTTCTAACAAACAGAGACAGATTTATGCAAAAGTCATAAGGAATCGTTTCAACCCGTTTATCACTGATTCCTTAACAGATTATTTTGCAGTCAGGTCAACAAGCTTCAACACATTCTTAATTTTCATCGTCCCGATGTTTGATTCTAATAAGCGATTCTCTGGTTCGGTTAATATTCGCTCGATGCGATACAAACTAGGGATTAAATTCACAGTGAATAAAAACAATGTCAACGTGGAACGAACTTAGGCTAATTTCAACACGTATGATAAACCAGTTTAAAGTGCCACTGTTTGCCCCATTACATTACTGAATTTATGATGCAAACACTTCATAACTGACTGATCCTTCATCGTAATTGATCGGCTCGGGACCGCCGTGGCCTAGTCTCGGTGCCCATGTTCGTCTGCCTCTTGCGATTTATCGGCACAAGCTTCCATATCTTTCTTTGAGCTCATCTGAAACTGAAATTTAGCACATACCTGTTTTTTTATTAATGCACCCAATAGTCAGCCATCAGGTCGTTCAAGGCGAAATGCATCCACAACGGGCGCTCGCATCGCACAACAAAGCCGTACACTTCGTCTATCCTGGTATCACCTAATTATCATGCTGTCCCTATCATTCGTAAGCCACCGACCTATTACTCGTTTCTCTGCTGATTGCGCCCAAGCAACGTGGTCTTAATTTACTGGTCAAAAGAATTCGTGGTAACGACAAAGACTGCCCTTTGAGCGGATTTGGATGCGGAACATTCTGAGTTCAAAGCCGACCCCCCTAACCACCGCGCAAACACAGCCCCCCAAAATCTAAGCCGAAGTTTTCCAATTCAGCATTTGCACTTACTTATCAACCAATTTAACAATCTTTTACTACCGAAATCCATCGAACACTGCTACATTGCGATGTAATCCGACTCGAGCTGCACGCAGTGAAGTGGGATCCAATGGTGACGGCAACGATGAAAACATGCGAAGTATCCGATATTATGCATAAGTGTATAGATTACTATCTCCTGACTGGTAATTAACCGAAGAGCAGCAGGGTCAAATTAGCCGAAAACCTGAAGCTGAACCATATTTAAGAATGGTCGCTAAGTCAAACGTGCGCGATGCACTAAGGTGAATAAATTTTTATACTGGTTACGCACAAATTTCGATATCGAATCACAGGCAATCTAAACGTAAGCAAGTCACGTGATGAAACTGCATCCGAAATTTTGCTTTATGTATTTTCGAAGTCTAAGACTTTCTCTGAACTTACACGTAACGAGAAATTTGCAACATGAGTGCATAAAACCTGCTCTGTCCATATCTATTTTCCTGATGAGCGCGATGGAGCCCCGTGCATAAATTGATGAGAGATACATATGACACTACAAGAATACCATGTAGATGTGGTCTGCTTAAATGACCCCTATGCAACTAAGTGCAAGGACGCGGTGCAATACGCGATAAAATCTAGCTTTGAAGAAGTCATTCGTCATATATTATATCCATTCATTGTACCTACCCGTTAACTATGTCTGTATAGACAGAAACTGGTTTAATATCAAAATTAAAACATTCAAGTACGTAGTATATTTGCCTCTGCAGTCGCTTAAGACGTCAGTAAAAAATGGAGGACGCCTCAGCAAGCCCCTCTTTCTTCAGACGGAAAAGCTATGCTACTCTTATAATGGAAACATTTTGGATTTAGGCGTGTGGTTGTACGGGCGACAACAGCTAAGTGGTTGGCTGTGGCCTCACTCGCACCGCTCGTTTTCCATAAGTTCACGTCTGAGACTTGAAAGAAGCGTCGCAACGGCGGAGATGTTGTTGCCATCGATGATTGGCCACGCGGTCGCCTGGTGCCTGATCACCGTCTCTAACGTGTTCTTGTCGAATGGCAATCATTCCGAACGGGACAGTATGTCTAACGAACAGCTGATCTATTTTCAATACTTCTTCTACGTCATCGTTCTGATCCAGGGACTGCTACACCCACTGTTCTGCACCTGGAACCTGACGCTGGTGACACCTGGCATTGCCGAGCGACTACCCTTCTTTTACAGGATGTTCATTTCGGAGGAAGACCGCGACCGCGATCGTAACAGCATCAGTGGCAGGTCACTACCGAAGGCTGATCGCGTATCCATGAAATTGCCTAGGTCTGTGGCTGAATTGAAACTTGCCGAAGCTGCGACTGTCCGCCGCTTCCCCAAAGACAGTTGTCGAACATTAGGTAAGGCTCCAGCAAAGGAAGCGTCGAGAAAGACTGCATCCAATAGCACTGCCAAGCGAGCCATGAACGCCTATGAATACGTTCCACTGAACCCGATATCAGAAGCGGTCGAAGAGGAGCAGAACGCCGAAGACGATGAGGAAGATGGCGATGACCTGGATGACGAAGGGGACTTGCCTGACACGTCGATCGGTGAAATGGAAACAGGCGGCGACATATCGATGATTACTTAGTCCCTTTCTGGTGTTGTACCCCACTTTTTT